TAGAATTCCAGGATTGCTGCAATTCTTTTGATCAGAAAGAGTCGAATAGCATATTTTAAGACTACAAATGTTAATATAAGGCACACATTTTCATGAATGTTGCTCACTTCTTACCTTCCTTATTTTTTTCCTTTTTGTTTCCATCTAGTAAACTACCCTGATTTCCTGCAGTGCCTGTATGCTCCAATCATAAGCGATGAGGAATGTAAAGCTGCTTACCCAGGACAAATTAGTGAAAACATGGTCTGTGTTGGATATCTAGAGGGGGGCAAAGATTCTTGTCAGGTGAGGACACTTGCCTTCTGACCATCTGTAAAAACAAAACAGAATAGACATTTGCAAATTTGTTTGAAAACAGCCACCCAGCTATAAGGGATTATATGTAATATGTGAAAATAGTTTTATCTTCACAGTTTACCTGTACGTAGTTGGCATTTTCACCCATTTTCTTTTTTCTTTAGAGAAAAATACATGCTAAGAATCAGAAAACAAGCTGTGTTTGAAGGTGAAATTTACACCTCGTAGCTAGAACCATTTTCCATTTGTTCAGGAGCTGAGTTTTTATAGTATTCCACTCTGTTGGAAGCCAAACGGTCCAGTTTGTCATATTGTATTAGATCATTAATTAGATTCATTATTTTTTCCTATGAGGAATCGAAGGGAACCATATTGCTAGAAAAAACGTTTTATGCATCTATTTATCAAAATTCTATACTGTCCATCTCACCTAAGTGACTTTGGGCAATTTACAAATGACACATTTATGCCGTAACAGATATGCATATATTCTGACCAGTATGGGACAGAGAACTGTGAGAAGAGGTCATAGGACACCATTGATTTAGTGTGTTCTGCAGCTGTTTGGAATGGGGCATAGTGGTCTAATAGTGGTCTTGGCTCAGGGAATACAAGAATCTTTGTCATATTTCTATTTTGGAGACAGGTATGGATGGTTTAAAAGTGGTCTATATATTTGAAAAAAGATTTGCAAGTCTTATTTTGAAGAATTTTTCTCCAATCACAGAATATTTTGGCCAGCTATTCGATGTGCTTTCCTTAACAGTCTGAGGCTGTATGTGGTTACATATTTGTATGGATATCTATTGCAGGGATCCCCAGTCTCTGGCTGCAGCCCACTACCGGCTTGTGGCCTATTCGGAACCAGTTGCATGAGAGGCAGGCCAGCATGCATGTGCACACAGCTCAACTTGCATGAGTGGCAGGCCAGCATGCACACACATGCACGCATATCTCAAATTGCAGGCCAGCCAGCTAGCCATTCATGTGAGTTGAGCTGCATACATGTGCTGGCCACCACTTGTGTGGCCCAGTTCCCATCTCCCGCCCCCCTCCCTCAGCCAGATTGTCAAGCCACAAAGGTGAGCTATTGTATCAAGATATACGTGGAAAAAGGTAATTAGAGGTATTTGGCCTGTTTCCAGCTAATTTCTGGCCCTATATTAATAAGGCTTCAATATAGCTCCTTTCACATTACCAATCTTGTTTATGTATGAAGGAAGTAGGATCCCAGCATTAATTCTAAGCACTTGACTTCTTGTTTTTATTATTATTGTTATACTCCTTCAAGTCAATCTTGACCCTGATGACTACATGGGCAAGTCCTTGAAATTTTTTCCCGAACATTTTCAGAAATGGTTAGCTAGTACTTACTTCCAGGATGTTTTTTAAAAGCTTCCCAATCTAGGACTGAAAGGGAATAATGGTTCAAAGTCATTCTAAAGGAAGACTAAAATTTTTCTTACTATTAGTCCTGTGCCTTCAACTGCTATGCCAAACTGGATTTTCTGCTACTCTCAGTACCTGTCAGCCTTCCCAGGTAGACCAGACATGAAACATGACTTGATGATCTAATTCGACCTTATTGTAAAGTTACATAAACAGAACCTTGCAAGGCTGAAAGTACAAATCCCCAGCCATCAACTTTACAGCCCAAAACTCTTCCCACAGCAGTTTGAGTAGGATGTATTATCACACATGACAAGAGAGATATTGCTTAGTAATAGATGAGGGTCACTGAAGAATAGAGAAATAATCATATGAATACAATCAGAAGATAAAAACAGGAGACCAGAATAAGTACCACTTCGTAATTAAAATCAAACATCCCTCCCTCCCACCCAATGAGCTGAATAAAAGATGTAGACTCCAGATCCGAGATGAAGCGCCACAGTGCTTTGAGAAATGAAGCAACTGAATGAATTAAGAAATCCAGGGTGAATACTACCATTATACTACAATGACAAATGCCAGTTACAGTGTAATGGAGAGTAAAAAGAGGAAGACATTACAGACTTGTCAAAGCAGAAACTACCTCAGGACCTAAACCCTTCTTTTTTCTTTTGGTTTTACAGGGAGATTCTGGTGGCCCAGTGGCTTGTGATGGGTTCCTCCAGGGCATTGTCTCCTGGGGAGTAGGTTGTGCTCTGCCTGGCTATCCTGGAGTCTACACAAAAGTCTGCAGATACGTTGACTGGATCCATGAAACCATTGCTGCTAACTAAAGCAGCAACTTTCCTCTTATTCCAACCTTTTCATGTGCTTCCTCTTAATAGAATAGGGAATAAATAGAGGCTGATTTTCAAAACAATCTGGTGGATTTTTTTTATTTTAGTAGCGGTGTGTTGTATAGATTGAAGGCTGTAGTTATAATCCAGAGGTCTTGAATTCTGGTGTCTTTCAATGTTCCAGTTATTTCAAGCTCTCTTATAAAAAATATTCCCTCCACTTGATGGCCATATCCAAGTAAGAATAACATGAATTTCCCATCACTTTTGCAGAGCAACATTTCTACACTCTAAAGTAAATCTAAATTCTAGAAGGCATCCCTTTCGCTTGACAATGAGTAAAGCCTGGAACACGACTACCTGGTCTACTTTAGTGATTCAGTGTGGTTTTATTTGAGGAATGTATTTATTTAATAACATTTCAGTGACTCCTACAAGCTTACAAGATAAAAAAGCAATGACCACTCACCCCCTGCGATAACAAACAGGCGATAACAATCAATGAGCTCCATCCCATTCTGGAGTCCCCAGCCCTATTGGCAAAATCAGCTGGCCTTGTGAAGGAATATCAAAGTGGGGGCCAATTTGATTTGTGCACGGATGATGTTCCACAGGGAGGGAGCCATCATAGAGGAGGCCCTTCTTAATCTCACCAGGAGAAGGACCCACAGCATTCACTGCCTCCCCACACTGGTGGGTCAAATAGAGGACTAGATGACATACAAGGTCTCTTCCAATTCTGTTAATCTGTTAAGGTGACCAGGAAAAGACAGTCTATCAGAACTACCAGCTTTGGCTTAGCGCCTTGCCGGTATTCTGTCATCAATGGGGGAGGGAGGGGGGAACAACTGGGCAATTTGCTGTATACCTTTATGGCGGGAAATTGGGAGTAGGAATTGACAGTTGAGGAAGAACAGCTATTTGGAATCCGGTTCATGCTGGTGCTGACATCTTCAAGGTCGTTTGCCCTGAGTGTAGAATTTCACCAGCCCAAACACCTCAGAGTTTCTCACAACATCATAGTGGTGCTGGATGGACCGTCATCAGCTACATTCAGATGGACCAAGTGGGGAGGGCTTGGGGAAACCAGGGGTTTTAGCTCTGTATTACTGTGTGGGAATTTTAAATTCTGAAATCAGCATTCCTTAGTAAAAGTGCCCTTTCATTTCAAATGGAATTGAGAGTTTTACTTCCCTAAGAGATCAGATTGGGGCAGGTCTGAAAAGTGCTTCAAAATAACAAATGTAGAAAGTATGCATATTTTTGCTTAAATACAATGTGCAAAACCAGAAAGCTTCTGAGTATAAATCCATCCAGGATTCTGGAAAATGTTATTCAAGTGGTTGATAAAAGATGTAGAAAAAAAAGGGGGGTGGAAAAGACTCTGAGGAGCATATGGGATAAAAACATTAAAACAAATGCATGTGGAATACGAAATTAACTAGGAAGGCCCTTGGAGTATTCAATGATAGGGCACTAAAATGGGTTGATGGAGGATAGAGAAATACCATAGAAAAAACCCCAAATGAATTATAGGTAATCCTCTACCTACAACCATTCATTTAGGTTGTTCCCATTTTACAAAGTCCTCAATAGGTGCACCAACCAGCTTCAGCTAGTTTTGTGCTATTCTACAGGCAGGCTATTACCTCCTCCAATTCAGTTTAATAGGTTCCATCAGTTGTATGGGGGTGTTCTGTTGCTGTGAGAACGATAACTTGTGTCTTCTTTCAAATATTCAAAACTTTCAAGTTTTCTGGTGCTTTTTCAAGTGATGTATGTATTGAAACCCTCCTGAGCCAATTTTTCTGCTTTCATGGACTGCCTTAAGTGGGTTTCCTCTCCTCCTCTCCTCTAAGCATTCATATTTCATTCACACCAATATATGCCATAATTATTTAGAATGGCATCATATACTGGCATTTATGTAAAAGTTTTACTTCACTAATGTGGTTATACACATTAGTATTACAGCAAGCAGATTGTAAGAGCATCAACTTGGTTTTGAACGAATGCACTTAAATTCTTGGTATTCTCTTTTGGTGTAAGATGGGCCGTTTCTAGGTGTGGGTGCCATCCAAACACATCTCTGTAACTGGATTAGGTCCAACTTCTTGCTGTTCAAGGATACTATCACTGCAGTGATGAAGAGAAACAGTAATAGGCATATGAGTCCCTTCCATCTCTGTTCCCTTTTGGTCTTTCCTGTGAGTTTGGGTCTCTTCCAATTCTACCCCTGGGATTGCCAGTTTCAGTTTATTTATTTATTTATTTATTTTGATTTGTCAATCGCTTACAAGATAATAGGTATAAGTATATAAATAGTTATGAATACATGAAATGGGTACATATAAGAAAAATAAAAGAAACAATAGGACAGGGATGGTAGGCACGTTGGTGTGCTTATGCACGCCCCCTACAGACCTCTTAGGAAAGGGGTGAGGTCAATAGTAGACAGTTTAAGGTTAAAGTTTTGGGGGTTTGGGGAAGAAACTACAGAGTCAGGTAGAGTATTCCAGACATTGACCACTCTGTTGCTGAAGTCGTATTTCCTGCAATTAAGTTTGGTGCAGTTAACCTTGAGTTTGTATCTATTGTGTGCTCTTGTGTTGTTATGGTTGAAGCTGAAGTATTCATTGATGGGTAAGTCATTGCAATGTATGATTTTATATACCATACTTAGATCAGACTGAAGATGGCGTAATTCAAGGTTTTCTAGGTCTAGAATTTCAAGTCTGGTGGCATAAGGTATTCTGCCACGAGTAGAGGAGTGGAGAACTCTTCTTGTGAAATATTTCTGGACTTTCTCAACTGTGCTAATATCAGATATGTAATGTGGGTTCCAGACAGGTGAGCTGTATTCGAGTATTGGTCTAGCAAATGTTTTGTATGCTCTAGTTAGTAGTGTGATATTACCAGAGAAAAAGCTACGTAGGATTAGGTTACCAACTCTTAATGCCTTTTTGGCTATGTAGTTACAGTGGGCTCTAACACTTAGATCATTAGAGATGAGTATTCCAAGGTCCTTTACAGGGCTTGGATCATCAACAAAGTCTTGATTATTCAGCTTGTATTTTATTTTCTGATTTTTTTTTGCCAATATGTAAGACATTTGTTGAGATTTGAAGTTGCCATTTGTTTGACTATTCTGATACATAGTCAAGATCATTTTGAAGGGTAGCAGTATTATCTGTGGTATTGAACAGTTTTACATGATCTGCGAAGAGAATGCAGTTGCTCTTAATGTGATCACAGAGGTCATTTATGTAGAGTATGAAGAGAGTTGGTCCTAGAACACTGCCTTGGGGGACACCACTATTGACAGGTACAGAATTTGATCGGACACTGCCAATTTTGATCATTTGTTGTCTGTTTGACAGGAATGCTTCTATCCAGTTATGCAGTTGTCCAGAGATACCATAAGATTTTAGTTTTAGGAGTAGTTTGTCGTGTACCACTGAATCAAAGGCTTTACAGAAGTCTATGTAGATTGCATCTATTGTTTTGCCCTGATCGAGTTGTGTAGCCCATATGTTTTTACAGTGTAAGAGTTGCAGATTACAGGATAGGTTTTTTTTCTGAAACCAAATTGTTTATTAGAGAGTAGGTTGTTTGTCTCTAAGTGGAGGATAATGGATTGGTTAATAATTGATTCCATGACTTTACAGGTGATGCAGCATGAGGAGATTGGTCTGTAATTTTCAACTAGGCTAGGCTCTCCCTTTTTGAAGATGGGGATGACCGTGGCTTGTGACCATAGTTTTGGCAAAGAGCTGGTCCTGAAAGATTTTTCAAAGATTATGCTTAGAGGTTCGGCTATGGCAGTGGATAGATTTTTTAAGAAGTAGGCACATATTCCGTCTGGTCCGATAGATAGAGATGGTTTTAGATTGGGTGGTGCTTTTTCAACATTGTCTTCTGTAAAATCGATATGTATTAGATCATTGTAGTTTTCTGTGGTTTGGCTAGGAAATACTGGGCATGATCCATTGCTGTTTACAAATACTGAGCCAAAGAATGTGTTAAAGATGTTGACTTTAATGGTGTCATCGTTGCAGTCTTTATCATTAGGTCCTATCAGGGGAGGGATGGACCTTGAGTCTTTTAGTTTGTTGTTTACAAAATTGTAAAAAGCGTGGGTGGAATTGGTGTGTAGAAAGTTTTCCTCTTGTTTGATGTGATAATTGGTACATTCAGTCTTTATCTGGTGGCATAAATTTTTGTATCAGCTTTTGAAGTTGGCAACGTGACCAGATTTGTTTTTCTGCCAGAGTGATCCCTTTTTGGATTGGAGTTTCCTTATTGTTATGGGTAATCTGTTTTTTTTTTTTTTTTTTGGAAATTGTTATTGGTACATATAGTTTGATGAGTCTTTTGACTTCAAGTAAAAATATGTTGTAATGGTCTTCAACAGTATTGCATCCAGTGAATAGAGATTGCCAATCAAGGGATGAAGATCGTTGTCTATAAGATCATAGTTGCCTTTTTTGAAGTTATAATTGGGGATTACATCATTGTGATGATTTTTGTGTGGGCGTATTTTGAGACAAAAGTCAATCATATTGTGGTCACTGTTGGAAAAGGGTTCTTTAGTTTGTATTCCGTAAATTAAATTCAAACTATTGCAGAAGATGAGATCGAGGCAGTTGTTAAGTCTAGTATTATTGGTTACTAGTTGTTCCAGTCCCAGATTTGTAATAGCATTGTAGAAGGTTGTATGTATGGGTTCAGTTGTACATTCGCTTAGGGTCCAGTTAATGTGAGGTAGATTGAAGTCACCAAGAAAGATAAAAGCATGTGGGCAGGATGTTGCCCATGTTAGTAGTGAATTTAGCTTGTTTACATGTTCGATGTCATAATCAGGTGCTCTGTAACATACTAAGAATCAAAATGTGATATTTAAGGATAGTTCACAGATGATGGTCTCAGGAAGAGTAAGAGTAACTTGGATGTTTTTTAGATGTAAGGACTTTTTATAGAAGATAGCAACACCACCTCCTCTATGAATTTCACAATCTGATTGGTAAACATGATAGTCTCTTACTTTGGTAATGGAGTCAGGGAGAGATGCGTTGAGCCATGTTTCACAAACAAATATGATGTCAAATTTAGCCATATTTAGTAAAAGGAGAAATTCAGGTATTTTATTCACAAGGCTTCTTGCATTGAGTAGCTTGCATTTAAGGCCAGCTGTAGTTGGAATTGAGGTAGTTAGAGGTGTGCATGCCAAGTCTTGGGTGATGGTGGATTGGTTGAAGTAGGGTTGTGGTTGAAGGTTAAAGCTGAGTTGCGGATTGTGTGACTTACTTTTGATACAGTCAGCATGGTAGTCAATGTACAGGTCCTTCTCTCCATTGTCTAGACGTTTTTTGAGTTCTGTGCGGAGTACATGGGAGCGGGCACGTTGCTGTATGGTTAGGTCAGGGTGAGAACGGAGGTTCTTATGGTTGGTGTTGCTTTTGGCAAGTGTCTTGGGAATAGGTATATCAACAGCTTGACCAGACCAAAACTAAATCCATGGGATGCGTTTGCCATGGCCTCCTTCCCAAGGCTGAGAGAAAGTGGCTTGCCCAAGATCCCCCAGCAGGATTCGTCCCTAAAGCAGGACTAGAACTCATGATCTTCAAGTTTCTACCCTGATCCCTTAATCATTCTACCCATTCTTTTGTCCCCCTGCTATGTTGTGTCTTTGTACAGAGTGAGCCTTATAGCAGAGAACTCCTTGTTTTTATTCAAGAATAAACCACCGCAGAATCCATAGGTTGAGTCAGGGGTGGGATTCAGCCGGTGTAATAACCGGTTCAGTGAATTTGAAAATCATCTTCTCCTGCAAGCCTGTGCAGCAATCAACTGTGCCGCGCAAAGCAGATCAGGTTGAAAAAGCAGGAAATAAAGGACAGCCTAGAGCCCAGATGGTCTGGTTCCTGCTCAGCTGATCTTCGAAGCTACCAGTTTGGCAGAACTGGGCTGGACCGGTAGAATCCTGCCTCTGGGTTGAGTCCTTTGGGGTTGCACAAATACTGCAAAACAAACAAGAGGTCAATAATCAGATACTTACTATCAGTTGAATAATATAAAACAGCCAGTTAGAAAATTGGGCAATTTCATATTTTGTTAAAAGTTTTATTAGATCTAAATCAGTGTTTTTCAGTTTTAGCTACGGTACTTTAAGATGTGTGGACTTCAGTTCCCAGAGTTCCCTAGTGTGAGATTCATTGTCTAGTTTTGAAATAAATAAACACCAGCCAAAACTCCCAAGAGAAAACAATGGTAATTTTATTTACTACTTTGAAAAGAGGGTGCCTCCAAGCACACACAAGTAAGTGGACACACTGTAAATCATCGATATGTTTCCCTTATATTCCCTATTGCCATTACAAATTTACCTCCCACTTTTTCCTCATTGGCTTAGTACTCATGCCGTCACAATCAATCCAAAGCATCTAAAATGAATAAATTATCTCCACCCCTGATTACATCTCCCATTACTCTATTATATCGCTCCGTCTCTTTATTTACAAATTACCTTTTATGGCCCTAGTTCCTAGGGGTTGTCTCTGAAATAACTATCATTTCAGCAAATTCTGGTTAAGACGGGTTTCTAGAGTAATAGAGGCCTTCCTACATACAATTCTCAGGCTTCAGCAGGGGTGGGATTCAAATTTTTAAATAACCGGTTCTGTGGGTGTGGCTTAGTTGGTGGGTGTGGCTTGGTGGTCATGTAACTAGCTGGGTGTGGCCAACTCAACATCACTAACATTGAGGCAAGCATCTCCTCGCCTGGCCTCTCATCACTGTGGGAATGCTGCAAGAGTCATAAGTGTGAAAAATGGTCATAAGTCACTTTTTTCAGTGCCATTGTAACTTTGAATGGTTACTCTACACAAACAAAGTACCAGCAAAGGAGGAAAAAAAACCTCCAGAGAAGTTCCAGAGACAGGAAGTCTAGTTCTGCCAAGAATGTAATAAGGGTTAATGGGGAGGCAGTTTCTGTAAGTAACACCAGAATGTTTCCTTCCTACCTTCCTTACAGGATTAGGCCAGTAATTTCTTCTAACAACCGGTTCTCTGAACTGCTTAGAATATTACTGCTTAGAATATTAGAATTACTGGTTCTAGCGAACAGGTGCGAACCTGTAGAATCCCACCCCTGGGCTTCAGCCTAGCTCGTGAGATTAGAAATACATACAATGTAGTTTCTTCACAGGCTAGCAAATCTTCTGTAGTTTCTGTAAAAACAATAAGCTCTGTTTCCCACACCCAGCCAGCATAGGAAATTCTGGGAGTTGAAATCCACATATGCATGGGGGAATTCTGAGAGTTGAAGTCCACATAACTCAAAGTGGTTAAGGTTGAGAAATACTGATCTAAATCATGTTTCTCAAGCCAAAGCTGTTTTAAGACTCACTATAGCCAGCAGATGGCAACATAAACACTAAGAAAATTCTTCGCCGATTTAAAATAAATTTAATTTTTTTA